TCATCATCATCATCATCATCATCATCCATCCATCCATCATCCATCCATCCATCCATCCATCATCCATCCATCCATCCATCTATCCATCATCCATCCATCCATCCATCCATCATCCATCCATCCATCATCATCCATCCATCCATCATCATCCATCCATCCATCCATCCATCCATCACCATCATCCATCCATCCATCATCCATCCATCATCATCCTCATCATCCATCCATCCATCCATCATCATAATCATCCATCCATCCATCATCATCATCCATCCATCCATCCATCCATCATCATCATCCATCCATCCATCAATCATCATCCATCCATCCATCCATCCATCCATCATCATCCATCCATCCATCCATCATCATCCATCCATCATCATCATCCATCCATCCATCAATCATCATCCATCCATCAATCATCATCCATCCATCCATCATCATCCATCCATCTATCCATCATCATCCATCCATCCATCATCATCATCCATCCATCCATCCATCATCGTCAACATCATCCATCTATCCATCCATCCATCCATCATCATCCATCCATCATCATCATCCATCCATCCATCATCGTCAACATCATCCATCCATCCATCCATCCATCATCATCATCATCCATCCATCATTGTCAACATCATCCATCCATCCATCCATCCATCCATCATCATCATCCATCCATCCATCATCGTCAACATCATCCATCCATCCATCCATCCATCCATCCATCATCATCCATCCATCATCATCCATCCATCCATCATCAACATCATCCATCCATCATCATCCATCCATCATCATCATCCATCCATCCATCCATCCATCCATCCATCCATCATAATCAACATCATACATCCATCATCCATCCATCCATCCATCCATCATCATCATCCATCCATCCATCATCGTCAACATCATCCATCCATCTATCCATCATCATCCATCCATCCATCCATCATCATCATCCATCCATCCATCCATCATCGTCAACATCATCCATCCATCCATCCATCCATCCATCATCATCATCCATCCATCATCATCATCCATCCATCCATCATCGTCAACATCATCCATCCATCCATCCATCCATCATCATCATCCATCCATCCATCATCGTCAACATCATCCATCCATCCATCCATCATCATCATCCATCCATCCAACATCGTCAACATCATCCATCCATCCATCCATCCATCCATCATCATCATCCATCCATCCATCATCGTCAACATCATCCATCCATCCATCCATCCATCATCATCCATCCATCATCATCATCCATCCATCATCATCATCCATCCATCCATCCATCCATCATAATCAACATCATACATCCATCATCCATCCATCCATCCATCATCATCATCATCCATCCATCCATCCATCATCATCATCCATCCATCATCGTCAACATCATCCATCCATCCATCCATCATCATCATCTATCCATCCATCATCGTCAACATCATCCATCCATCCATCATCATCATCCATCCATCCATCATCGTCAACATCATCCATCCATCCATCCATCCATCATCATCCATCCATCCATCATCAACATCATCCATCCATCATCATCATCCATCCATCCATCCATCCATCATAATCAACATCATACATCCATCATCCATCCATCCATCCATCCATCCATCCATCCATCCATCCATCATCATCCATCCATCCATCCATCCATCATCATCAACATCAGCCATCCATCCATCCATCCATCCATCCATCCATCCATCCATTCATCATCCATCCATCCATCCATCCATCCATCATCCATCCATCCATCCATCCATCCATCCATCATCATCATCCATCCATCCATCCATCCATCCATCCATCATCATCATCCATCCATCCATCCATCATCAACATCAGCCATCCATCCATCCATTCATCATCCATCCATCCATCCATCTATCATCCATCTATCATCCATCCATCATCCATCCATTCATCCATCCATCATCCATCCATCCATCTATCATCCATCCATCATCCATCCATTCATCCATCCATCATCCATCCATCCATCATCATCATCCATCATCCGTCCATCACCCATCCATCCATCCATCATCATCATCCATCCATCCATCATCATCATCCATCATCCGTCCATCACCCATCCATCCATCCATCATCATCATCATCCATCCATCCATCATCATCATCCATCATCCGTCCATCACCCATCCATCCATCCATCCATCCATCCATCATCATCATCCATCCATCCATCATCATCATCCATCATCCGTCCATCACCCATCCATACATCCATGCATCTTCTCCCGCTTAGTCCTGTCAGGGTCACCTTGTCGCTGTTGCAAAAATTGACAATCGTTTCCCTCATACGACTGGGGTTCCTCCCCTTGTGTCTGTGGGGTTGCTGCCTGTTTCTCTGAGGGGTTTCGCACCGTTTGTCTGTGGGGTTCCTCGCAGTTTATCTGTGGGGTTCCTCCTGGTGCATGTGTCTGTGGTTAGCCATCTGTTGCCATAGGTAATTAGGGGGACATGCGAGGGTCTGCCTGTGGTCCATGACCAAGGTTTCACTGTTGGAGATGAGCAGCACGATCTTGACCTCTAACCCTGATGGACAGTTGTGAGGAAAAAATGGTGAACTAGTGGTTAGGGAAGGTGCTTCGATCCCCCACTCCCACAGACTGCCACTCTGGGTCCCTGAGCAAGACCCTTAACCCCACACTGCTCCCTGGGTGCTGCACAATGGCAGCCCACTGCTCCCCAAAGGGATGGGTTAAATGCAGAGAGAGAATTTCCCTCTGGGATTATTGAAGTATTAAAAAAATAATAATAACCCTGGTATTCCACTAATCGGAGGTTTACAATAAGTAAGAAAATTTCTTTATCATCAAAAATATAAATAGAAAATAATTTGAACAGATTAAAGCTTCTTGTATTTTATGAAAAATGTATATAAAAAAAAAGCAACATTAAATCACACAGTTATAATCAAATATTTTTTTTTAACTTGTAAACTGGTGAGATAAGCCGATGTTTAGTTTTACAGCTAAAGTGGCTCTGGGGCCAGCTGGGCCACTCAGCCATCATCACAGTTCAATGAATATTTTACTTTACAGAAAACAGACGTTCTTTAAAACACAGTTTTAGGTTTATAAACCCTTTTTTTTCTATTTAACACACAGAGATGATTATGAATGACTGTTCAGAACCTTCTTGGACCGATGGAGCACCTGTTCTGGAAACATTTCTGTGAGAAATGTTATAATTGATAGATTTCTCAGATATAAACTACTTCCACTCATCATCATCATCATCATCATCATCATCATCATCATCATCATCATCATCATCATGTCAGTGCCATTGGTGAAGGATGGGTTAGCGCCATTCAGGCCAGCAGCTGCTCAGGAAAAGGAGCAGAGCAGAGTGGATCTAAGCTCCCGTAGCATCCCCATCACTCTGGGTCCTGGAAAACTCCCAGCTTGTCTGCGCACACTGAGCCATCTTCTGCTTTCTCTAAAAATAAACACAACACACACCTGTCTGCGTGCAGATAAGACATCAAACTTCGCTCCAAATGTGTTTGCACACCGGCGCCAGGTGACTGCCCCTCCTCACTGAACCACTGGAACTATTTATTCAGACACGCAGCCCAATCCAAGGGGAATTAGATTAAAAAATAAGAGTCATCATAGAGACAGCAGGCTGTCAGTCATCAGTGCAGCCGGACAGTAAGTGAGGGGACTAATGAACACAGGCAGCATACAAGGTTTAATTCATTAGTTCTGCTGAGGCTGAACCGAGCAGCACCGCCTGGACCTGGAAGACCTGAGGAGCAGCAGGAACCAGGCGCATCTGATCTTATTTTGCTCTGGGTTTCCCTGCCGCTCCTTTGGTTTTTCCCTTCAGATAAAAAAAGTCTGGAAAAAACAAACAAACTGAGAGATAAAAGCTGCTAAATGAGACACAGATAGGAGGTTCCGCTTTCAGCCCTCCAACCTGTTTCCACCTCAACAAAGACAAAAATCTTCATTTTAACTCTGTGAGGAAATTGATTTCTTTCACACAGAGAAAGTCCAACTTTTTACAAAAACCTCATTTCAGTCTGAAGGAGAAATTTAAATCTGTTTTCTTCTGGGAGTAAATCTAATTATGATCTGGGAATGGATTTTATTCCATCATCTTATTTTTAATATAAAACCTAAAACCTTCACACCCTGATGACCTGTTAGACTGAATCTTTGTCCAGGTCTGCTGCATTTCCAACCAGACACCCGCCTCTTTGGAGCAGCAGCGTTTATCCCTCAGCGGATCTCTGCAAACCCAGCCTTTAGATCACAAAAAATATATATATTTATGACTTAATACGAGGATTTTTTTAATTGATCTTCAAGAGTTCAAATCAAAAAGCTGCAATCCTAAAACACAAAGAGAGCTGCAGTCACGCCCAGAGGAAACTGATGTGGTTTCATTCTAAAAAAGATGCAGCATTTCAGATGAAACCTGCCAGCATTAGAAAATAAGGAGCATGAAAGAGGAGAATAATTGGAGGAGAATTAGAGCATCATCTGCTGCACCAGCAGGTGGAGAGGATGAGGGAACGAGCTGCACCCAGAAAAGGTCCAGAAGAACCTCTAGAAGCTGATTTAATTCAGTTCAAAGCAAATATTCATCAATCTGAGAAACATCAGCTGGTTTCAGGATGCAGCTGCAGACCTCCTGCAGGACCAATGAAGGATTCACAGTAAGCGATGTTTTTCTGCCACTCTGGGATGTTACTGGGGATGCTGGAGAGGCCGCCACTGTTCCCAGTAACCCTGACTGGTCTCTGAGCTTCCTGCAAACTTTTAGACTCCTTCATGGAACCTTAACCACTGACTGCATGTCAGGGCTTCCCAGTTTGTTGTGACTGCTGCTGAAAAGTTCCGTCCTTTCCAGGATCACCGAGCAACCGAAGCAGGAGCGCATCGACCGTGTTTACTGCATCTTACCTGGGAAGAGAAGAACCAGCAGGGACCCCAGCAGAACCATGGTGGCTGATTTCCGGCTGGGATGAGGTTGATGTTGGACCCGCGCGGGACGGGAGAAGCTCCAGCAGCTCCGCCGCGCGTCACAGACACGCGCAGCCAGCCGGCGGACACTATCCGAGCGCGCCGATCTCCTCCGCGGTCCGTTGGAGAGAACGGAACCGGTGGATTCTGGTTCTGCTTCTGCTTCTGGTTCTGGTTCTGGTTCTGCTTCTGGTTCTGCTTCTGCTTCTGGTTCTGGTTCTGGTTCTCACGGGCTGCAGCTCCGCTCACTGCCGGACATCAGGACGCGTCTCCTCTGGTGGAGCTCCCGGTGCTTCTGCGATCATGATGCTGACAGGCAGGAGGAGGCTGAGGTTATTAACTGGTGACATCCCTCCTTCTTCCTCCTCCTCCCCACAGATCATCTTCATCATCACCTTCAGGGGCAGTGAGGTCTTTATCAGAGAGCAGTCTGAGTGATGCATAGAGAATCACTGAAAAATGGAGGAAAACTTTCAGATCTTCTCTCCAGCTCAGCCTGATGCTCTGGTTTCCTCAGGTCATTGTTCATCACAGTAACCGTGAGCTCAATCCACTCAAACTTTACTATAAAGAGCCACATTACAGCCTTCAGTTTATTTCAAGGAAAAATAAAATATGGTTTTAAAACTTCTTTTGGAGTAAAAACCTGGGGTGGACTAATGCCTCTTAGGCCAGGGGGGGATTTAGGGAATGTGGGGCCCTAGGCAGAGACAGGCAGGGGGCCCCTCTGAATGGAGAAGACAAGATATAAAACAGACCCATTCTACAGATAGATAAATGTTAATAGAATAGACATCCATTATCTGTTCTAGGTTGTGTCCCTCTCTTGTTTCTTTTCTTCTTGTTTTCCTCTCTATGTTTTGTACTCAGCTGACTTTTCATGCTGTCTCTAAAGGAATGAAAGATTTTTTCCAAGCACTAAGCTCACTTAGCTGATTGCTCCTTCCTGTGTTTCCAAAAAGGCCAAAGTAAATAACCCAGTCCTTCTTTTCACTGTAGACAAGCCATGATCTGCTTCTCTGTTCTCCATTTTTCATTTGGATGAAATAATAGCTGCATGAATCATGACAGCAGACAAGATAGAGGAGAGCAGGAGGCGGGGTTACCAATCTACTTGCTCTGGAGAGCAGAGTTCGCTGCTTTTATATGTTGTCTCCAAAGTCTCCAGTAGCAGAAAAAAGTCTCTAGATTTGGCGCTAGGAGCTTTTTAGAAATCAAAGTGCTAGAGGGGTCTGAAAAGTGGCTAAATATAGCGACTAAAGCGCTAAGTTGGCAACACTGCTCTTTGCATCGTTTGTTTTCAAATGGTTTGCTGCTGTCTGTTTGGACCTTTCTGAACATGTGCAGCAAATGGACTGATCCAATATGGTGGACACTGAAGGGGGGGGGCTGAGACACACTTAATATTATCAGCGTTCTAATGGCATTTTAACCAAAGGATTTTTATCAAAACCATAATTAATGTGCACAAATAGGGAATAGTTGTATTAAATATAAGCCTAAACAGAGTTTTATAAGGGCCCATAGGAACTTGAGGCCCTAGGAAGCTGCCTAGTATTGCCCCCCTGCTTACGGCTCAACTGTGAAGCTCTGCAGCTCCTCCAGAGCCTCTTGTTGGTCCTTTCATGTTCAGAGCTTTGGGTCCAAAGGTCCAACCTGCCCCTGGAATGTCTCCTCCTCCTTCTCCCTGACTTCCTCTTCATGGTCACGTTTATTCACTAATGTTCTCTAATATGTGTTCACACCTGTTTTATAAATAAAAAAAGCCTTAATCTTCAACAAGAACGAGAACTTTTCTTGTTTCACACTGCGTCTGTTGTGGCATCAGCCATCTTCTATGGAGCTGTCTGCTGGATCTGTAACTCATCTGTAGCTGAGAGGAAGCGTCTGGATCAGCTGATCAGGAAGAACAGCTCTGATTGGATGCCCTCTGGACTCAGTGCAGGAGGTGGGAAACAGACGGATCCTAACTAAATGATCGTCTCTGTTGGATAACCCGACTGGGGTTCAAGGAGACAGAAGCAGAGATAGAAAAAGAAGCATAGATACAAAAGGCCACTGTCCAGCAGCTCCACTGGCGGCTCCATCCAGGAAACACACAGCCAGGCAGACGAACTCTGAGCCAGCTCCCATGTCAGAGGATGAAGAGAGAACATCCAGTTAGTCACAGTCAGAGAGGCCGCTGTTCTGTCAGACCAGCATACCAACAGTCAATACCTGTTTATCCCTTTAGTTCTGTTTGAAAAACAGACTTTAAACCACCTCGACGGGCGTGTATCCCTTAAGTCATATACAAAAAACAATGACTTACTTTTTGGTATTTTTTTTAAGGTAATGGCGATCTGACCTTGAATAGCTTCATGCATATTGACTATAGGTATGCTGGTCTTACGGGGTATGCTCATCTAACAGAACACCGGCCCGCTCTTGGCAGCGGCTTGGCAGGGCCTGGCCTCCTGGGGCCCAGTCAGAGCCTTCAATGTGGGGCAGGCCGCCCCTGGGGCCTCTGGTCCCATGGCCGGTCCCAACTCGTTTTTGCTGGGTGCTGGCGGAGCCAACAGGCTCGTCCCCATGGCTGGGTGGGTCTTTGGCTCTTCGCAACCACTATTGAGCATTTTCCCTATAAATAAACCTCACACACACAAACACACACAAGCTCACTCTCACAAACACCTACTGGCACTTGAATGCTGTTAGTTACTATATTCACCTATTGTTAACTTCCACTTTCTACATTTCGTATTTGGTTAATACTGGATAAACTTCCGTAGTGTCATGATTTTACAATGTTCAAAATGCAGAAGGTTTAACAGGTTTTATTGAAACAGAAGGAGAAGTGTTGCTCTGAACACTGCTCAACCGGAACTGAAAAGTGAGGGGAAGACACAGCGGTTAGTTCAGGCTCAGTGGGGAATTTGACTCGAGAAACTTGGAGAAGAGGATTTAGTTGCCGACTCACGTTTCCAGAGAAGTAGTTGAATCCTTGACTCCTGTCTGTGTACCGTGGTTCCAGTGTTTGTCTGATTTGGTGGAGGGCGGAACAGGTTTTACCCAGAAAGCGGTTGTTAGTTGGAGAACAGAGAAACTGACTGCTACTCAGATTTCCTGCGAGACTTGAACAGGTTGTAGTGGAGATGAATCCCTTTCTCAGTGAGAGGCTCAAACGATCTCTTGGGGAAAGTGGATCCAAACCTCCTGTTTGAACCCCAGCTCAGCTTGAAGCTCTGTTGATCCTTCCAGGGGGAGAAGGTCCGAGAAATCCAGTTAGCAGGATGACTTCCTGCCGAGAGGCAAAAGACAAACAAAGTTAAACTCAGCTTGACAAAAACTCAGTTTCACTCAGCAAAACTCAGCTTGGCTAGAGTACCCAAAACTGGCAAACGCTCTGGCTTTGAGGTAGTGGCAGTCAGCAGCTTAAAGGAATAGTACACCCAAAACATGATTAGCCTTCATTTTCTACTCACCCCCATGCTGAACAACACTCTGGAGTACTTTTTTGATATCTCAAATGCATCTGGAGATCTGGGAGGCTTCTTGCTGTCTGCTGACATTCAAATAATGGAGGTCTATGGCGCCCGAGACAGAAAGGTCCATAAAAGTCCACAAAAAACGTGTCAATATTCCTCCATACTGCTCGTCCAATGTATTCCAAGTGTCCTGAGTGGGTAGCGTCCAGAATTTACTCGAAATGAAGTCATTTAGAAGGTTTTTAGAGCATAAACAGTAGTGTATAGGATTTCCTGAAAGCGCGCACCTGCGCGTTCATGACGCTACGGAAACCGGCAGACCAAACCAGATGAAAGTGCGCATTCAGCGTCTGCTCTTCCAATAATGCAAGCGTAGAAGAAGAAATGTGCTGTTTTGTCTGCCGGCTTCCGTAGCGTCATGAACGCGCAGGTGCGTGCTTTCAGGAAATCCTATACACTACTGTTTATGCTCTAAAAACATTCTAAATGACTTCGTTTCGAGTAAATTATGGACGCTACCCACTCAGGACACTTGGAATACATTGGACGAGGCTGATAACGCTCCACTTGTGAGTGTAAAATCTTTTGGGCTCCTTCTGGTATTAAGACAACAATTCTTATTACCACATTACCAGACAGGACATTATAAAAAACAACAACTCCTGATTGCAATCTGATTGAAAAGTTTTGAACGACTAGATCTTGGGAGCTTCACAAATCTAGAAGAAAACATTTCATCTTTGTTTAGCTAGAAAGCATGACTGTAATGAAGTAAAAAAAAAAAAAACAATAGAGCAAAGTGAAAGCATATATCAGCTCATGTAATTATAAATTAATGAGTCATTGCTGACTGCAGCAACTTGGTCTCTACAGTGGAGTTCTAGAGCTTCAGGCCACTTAAAACCCACTGGATGATAAAACAGTGAATCATCCTCTGTCTTCTCTGGCTACCATTCACCCCGTCGGTTTGGGGTAATCCCCTCTAACCACAGCGCACTAATCTGGGGGGATTTACAGTACTTCAGTGAGTTTTAGAAATGCCTTCACTGTTCCTCTGCCTGTGATCGGAGCCATCTTTTCATTTGAAGGAGGAATATCACAAAGAAACATGCAAAGAACACTGGGAGGATGTCCTCAGGTATGTGTGGTGCTTTACACCTGAAATGAGGAGGCGAGAGCTATAAAAGGGAGCACATTTCACAGGATTATGCTATATTATTGTAATGGGCCACTCCGCACCTCATGCAGCTTTCAGTTATTTTGCCTCTAAAGGCAGCGACTTAGAGAGCGGGTCATTTGGAGGGCTGCAGGGGCTCCACCTGTTAAACCACTGTAGCATCACTTCCATTTCATTTGTACAGAAGACAATAACAGAATCATAAAGGGCCCTAACTGCCTGCAGTATCACAATGTTCCGGCATCACGGCATGGGTCTGATTGCTTTTTAGACATTTGACCAGCAATAGACTTGAAAACGTCATTAAACTAGATAAGCTACATTCTACTCTTTGAGTCGTTGTCCGGTTGTTGTTTTTGGTCTTTCTAAAAGGGATTCATTTTTGGAAAAAAATTATTAAAAGTTTAACCACTGATTCAGCCCCAGATTATGGGGGGGCTGTTTATGCAAAATCAAATCAATGAGTGAATACTACTATTAATCAACTATGAAATTAAATTATTAATTTTACAAATTCTATCATTTCAGAATTACTTTTTAATTAGATTTTTAATTTCTTTATTAATCTACTTAAACACATTTTACTGAATTGACTATTAAACCCCATTTAGCCATGGTACAAGGCCAGCTGGGGCCTAGCTCCACAGGTTGTTCTGTTTGGGAAAGAAACAGTTAATCAGGTGAGCTTTGAGCCAGT